AGATGTGCCAGTTTTAGTTTAACAGCACTGTTCAGATTGGGACGGGCAAACCACTTCCACTGCAGCAGCTCAGAGTTTCTCTCCTTAATTACTTTTTCTAGAAATGCACCAAAAAGCGAGCATACAATTACATACTGCTGAGTGGAGACTGAGAGCTTCTCAGAGCTGTACTAAGAGGAAACCAAATCACATCTCCGGATGCCCTAAGGTATTGAAAATGAGCAGATCAAAATAGTTTTTTCACCCTTGATAGCCTGCAATTCTTCAAGAACTGACCACACAGTTTAGAAGAGAACTGAATGGTGTAAACAATTAACTGCATCTGATCACTACGTACAATGGCATTAGTAACTAATGGCAAACTGGAGAACCAGCTTTACTTGTCATGGTCTGAAGAGATGCAAACAGTCTGGAAAATTTCTTGGTTCATATCTGTGGGGCCTGAGTCAAACCAGCAGTCTGACACAAGAGAAAAATTATCACAGTTGAATAAAAGGTATTTCAGGTAGGTAAGAATAGTTTGAACATGCCATTTCTGTCATCACTAGGGAGCTCTGAATCCAAGGAAAACATTTAGAAGTAACCATGGAGCATCATTAAAGATGAGTCAGTAGCAGACAATTCTTGGAAATTTGCTATAAAAATAATGCAAAAAGCAACAATGATATTGTCAATTACACCTTCATTACATCTGCAACCCACTCTTACTCTCCTGCCTTCACTATAAATTTTCATCTTCTACAGTGAAGAAGATCATTCTGCAGACTTCAGATTACAAGGTCTGATGCCTTCAGCCCTCAGATACATGGCTGTGTGAAGTGGGTGGACAAACACAGCTATCTATACAAAGCAAGTAGCCTGACTTCTTCAGGACAGAGATCAGCTCTGTTAGAATTGAGCAAGTAAACAGGAATCTTTCAGACACTCTCCCTTCTCAGGAAAGATGGTCATTATGAGGGGAAGCATAGGTGAGATGACATCATATAGCATCCCTAAGGAAACACAGAATACATTCAGAAGGCACAACATATGAAAACTGACCTTGTCCATGTCCTGTGTTCTATTTCTGTCATCTAAAGACAGGGCAGAGCATGAATGGGTACTGAAAGAAAATAATCACCACTAAGTGAAAATGCATCATCTTTCACCTAACAAATCTAAATATTTCAAAGCCATAGGAAAGCAGGACATCAGTTAGCAGAACAGGCATTCTTAGGAGACCTGAATGACTGTAAGAGAAATTAATTTTGTCTTGCAGCACAGTTTTGTACTGCAGCAAGAGGTAAGTAGAGTTCATATTTCATGGTCATTGAAATGACTAAGAGCTGTTCAAGTTTGTTTGCTCAGCACTGACATCTGTCATTATAGTTGGTTTCTTTTTGAAGCATCATATACAGGCCACTGTCAGCAGACATCCCAGATGCAATTACCCAATGGCCTGTCTCAGCATTGCTAATTAGGTATTCCTGTTTACTATGAAAATGTGAGACAAACTCAACAGCAATGTCACAACCTCATTTCACTGTCAGCATGGATGCAAGCTGTTAGAAATACACTCATCTAGAGTACAGCATATTTTAAGCTTTCCATTGAGGGCATGCAAATGGAACCTCTGCAACAGAGAACTACTTTCCGGGAGAGGTACTCAGGAGAAGGAAAAATCCGCACATGTTCTGCACTATTTCTGAATTTTATACAGCTTTATTACTCAGTGAGTGCCTTTTAAATTACATTTAGTTCAAGACACAGTACAATGTTCACCTTTAAAGAGAATTATATGCATACATTTGATATCGTATTTGTATTCTAAGCAGACATTGAAAGCACATGCAGGGAAAAGTTTTATGCTGGCTTTCTACATTAGTGCAAATTAAGCTCACCATCTCCTGATCTCTACATATGTGAAAGAGAATATTAATAAAGGAAACCTTTGCAACAAAGGATTTCATGGTCAGGTGAGTTAACAGTTGGCAAAACAGCAGCATCTGAAGGGAAAGACAGACAAACACCTAACCAGGCAAATGCCGTTAAAGTGGGTGTGTGCACTAAAGAAACATGTAGCAACAAAGGATGAAGGAAGCTAGAGAGCATTCATCCTACATCCAAAGATATAAAAGGAGCTCTACACACTGGCTGCATAACCTGAAAGTCTACATGGAGAGAGATTTGCAGAGCTGCCCATTACAAATCAGTTGGAAAGGAATTGCTTTATAGTTATCCACTAGGAACTTCCAGGCGGTGACAGCCATTTTTGCTGAAAATATTACATCAGTAATCAGAATACCTAAATCAGTATACCAGTAATTACATCAGTATACCTAAAAAGGAAAAAAAAAAATTCTGCAACACAAAGATCTGGCATACAATTTTTCCTACAGGGGAGTATGAGCAGAAGATGGAAAGCACAAACCAGCCTTTCGTAAAGGCTCAAACAGCTATATTTATGACCAAACCTGTGTTTTGACTTCATCCTCTTCCCCAAATGACTGTCACTGAAGACCTCTACCCAAATGTTCATACTTGTATCCTCATTTCTTACATCTTCAATGCTTGTAATTTTCTCCCTTTCTTAGAATAGATAGTACAGGGTATGTTAAAAAAGCAGAAATCACTAAAACTGTAGAAGATCATGAAAATTATCTATGCCCCCGGGGTAGAAAATACTTTTCCCAGCCCAGGTTTCACTGGGTAATAAGCTAAGTATCTGCAGATCCTAGAAAGACATATTTGCAATCTCTGTTTGCTGTGCATGCTGAAACTTGTCTTGCCACAATGTATACAGGAGGACATGATGTAGCATTATTAGCAGGTCCAAATTTAAAATAACTCTTGAAAACGCAGAGAGGAAGCTGTAAATGGACAGCTCATTTCTCCTAGTAATTGTTTATAGAATAAGGCTCATAAGATTTAACTTCGAAGCAGGAGAACCACAAGATTCCCAGTTAAGCAAATACAAAGGCCTTGGAGACCATTTCTTGTAGTGGCCACATTCCAAGGTTTTTTGTTGCTTGTTTTGGAAAACTGTTTCTCTTCTCATGGCTACAGGGATGCACTTTGGTCCTTTCTGTACCATAAGGCCAGGCCAATTCCCTTCATTGTGACTGTAATACCACATTATAAACAAGCAGTGAAAACTATTCAATATATGGGTTAGAGTGTGGAAGAGAATAGAAAGATGAGAAATCTCCAGTGTGATTTACTGCTCAATGAATGCAATGATTCACCACAGTAATTTCCTCTTTGCAGTAGGCCAAATTCTCCCACTTATACAAGTGTTGAGTAAATCCTTAAATGATGCCTCATCCTACTGATTTGAACAGTACCATTTACAGAATAACACACAGTTTCATATCACCAAGGAAATGGACCCTGGCTCCAGCTTGCCCTAGACTCATATAATCAACAAGGTAAAGTGGGTGAAACAGAAGGAAAATATTTACCAAAGCCGAGTAGAATGTGTCCTTCGTTAAAAATAGACACTCTTTGTAGCTATCTCAATGTCAGAAAGGTAAATAACTTTTAACTTCAGAAATATCCTTTAACAAATCACTTCCCTTAAACAAACTGGTTACAATCCACTAAGGAAGAAACTGCAATATTGGCTCATGACACGTCCTTAATCCCAGAACATGACCTACAGAGCCCTGTGGATTTTACAGGAATAAAAGAGAGCTGCCTTGTCCTTGTTAGCTGAAATCATGGGCAGCCATGCAAAGATGTGGATGCATTAGCCATACCTCTCCCCTATGCATTCATATTTTTTCAGATCCAAATGCAGTAACGTTACTACATAGTACAATCTGTGGGGCAGGGAGCCAGGTAATAGCCTTCCCAGTACTACTGTGATGCAGACTCCTTCCTGATTTTATGCTTGTTCTACAAGTGTCAAATCTCCTGGCTTTGATCAATACCTAAGCAGTTCTTTCAACATCCCTGTGACTGGAATTACTATGCTCAGTACAGAGAAAGCAGGAGACAGAGGATTGTGCAAATCTGTAGAGAGAAGCTGTTACTCAGTTTAAACTAAAACACATAAGTAACATTGTTCTTTTAAATTGCTCCAGAAAGTCTGGCTGCTTTCTGCTCAGGCGGATATAACAAGATGATTCTGCTTGGGAGTAAAGTTGGAATGCTTCCCAAGACACAGCTAAGGAAGCCGCTGCATTTGATAAGCATTGTAATCTTTTTCCAAAGTAGGTACTTGAGAGAAATATCCACTTATTAAGGTGAAATGGCATAACCCACAAATAGGAATGTACAATGAAATATATTTCCCAGGGACACAAGAATGGAGTTTAAATCTGGTATTGAAGTGTCCTTGTGACAAGGAAATAGAGGTCCTATAAGAAAAGTACCGATCCAAATAGATTCTTAATCCAACTGACTTTTATTAGTTGCACCTGTCACAATATTTAAGAATCCTTCCTTGCTAAAAAACACAAATAAACAAAACCCCCCAACTCCCCACACAAATAGAAACTATATTCTCCTTAATGGAGCACATAGCACTTCTCTCTCATCACTGATTCAAAGCTGTGGAGACTGTTTTTCCTCAGATGAAATTTTGTGATTAAGGGAAGATTATTTATTTTTGCTTCGTGAAGGCTGTGAGCAATAGGTTCTCTTACACATCCTTGGAAAAACTGCCTTTTTTTTTTTTTCTTTTTTTTTTTTTTTTCCTGAGAAAAAAATTCACAAAACCTTTACTTCAGGATTAGTTAATTGTTTGCATAATTCTGTCAACTAGTCTAAATGGGAGGTTGATTTTCCCTACTCATGCCACTTGCAGTAAATCAAACAAAGCTTAATTTTTCTATTCCATACCTAAGGAAAAGTATTTTTCAACTTGTACTCAATCTCTTCTTAGGAAAAGTCATTTCTTCATCAGCTGCTGCAGATTGTTAGGAAAGAGGGTGGGGCCTTCCCAGGCTGACGTCCTTCAAGCCATACCTGAGTATAAAGAGCAAGGGAGAACTACAGCCAAGAAACTCTCAAAAGCTGTTTCCAGTGACTGCTAGGATTCCAAGGCTGGCTTTATTCTGCAACTGCTATAACTTGCTGCTAAAAAGAGAAGAGGGAAGCTGAACCCTGCTCATTGTGGCTAATTACATCGGAGAATTAGTTACAATTACTGTGTTCTCAGTGTGAAACTGGATTTTTTTTTTTTTTTTTTTTTAAGCAGAACTGAATAAGCTTTTTTCCTACTGCCTTCTTTTTCATCTTTTTCTACACACACAGGACTAATGTTGCAAACAGTCTGCATGAGTCCTGAACTACTGGTCAATCAAAACAGTGAAAATGAAACCTGTGGCTATAGTCCAGGTCAGGGATCTCCACTGCCTGGAGAAACTGCCAGTCCCAAAAGCTATTTTCAACAGAGCCCATCGTTGCCAGACTCTGGATTAACTGAATTTAACGTTGCAAGTCCCAAGATCTACCCTCCTCCTTCACGTAAACATCAACAGATGTCTACTCCCACTGGTAAGATCAAATCTTTACTCACATTTTCTATTTTATGCAACAATATTATGCTGATTTGGCAAAGCGATAAAGTACACCAACTTGCAACTGCTTTTGTGCTAGCAGAGAGCTCTACTAACAGTAGCTCATATTAACCTTCTGTGGCAATAATACTGAAGATGTATGGCATATTCTCCTACTCAAGTCTTAGTTATATTCTGTTGTGGTCTGCTGCTGAAGTGAGAAATTACTCTGTTTTGCAAAAGATGCTTAATATTCCATCATTTCTGTCTATTTCCATTATTCTGCTGTTCATGTACATTCTAAATTGCAAGTTTGGTTCTGAATATAACAAGATAATAGATATGACCTCCTGAGTTATTAACATTACAAAGTCATATGAACGTGTGTTTGATGAATCATTGCCTTTGCTGAGTTCTTCAATTTTAAGAATATATCTGGACATGTAATCTGATCCATCATATACCATTTTTACTTTATAAAAACTTGAAAGATAATAATATATTAGCAATTTGGGGGAGGTTTAGAAAGCTTTTCAGAGAGGCCTTTAAAACACTCTACAAAGAGTAAATAATTCATCGTCAAAACACCAGTCTAAAAAATGAATTATTCCCATTTCTAGAGGAATCTGAGAAATAAATGATGATTTTTTTAAGGTCCCAATGTTTTAATTATTCAGTGATAGGTTAAACATTCAGAAATGCCAGAAATTTCAGCACAAAACAGCAATTCAATATATATTCAAAACGCACCATTTGCCACTTGGGATTCAACATCCTCCTGCTGAAAGGGTGTCAGTCTCTCATTGCCTGGAGCAGGGAAGAGAAACAATGTCACGCAACTAGAAACCACATCTTGTGTGGCTGGTTTCCATGCCAATATTACCTACTCTGAGATATCCCAAGTTTGGGGAGGTGTACCATTCCCATCTGTTGAGCTCCTACAGTTCTCCTCCACAGGACTTTGCCAGCCAGACTCCAGCAGCTGCTACAGAGCACACAGAGATTTTGGTCAAGGAGGAATACTGGTACAGGCACCTAACATTATACTTAACGAGGACTGCTCCTGAAGTAGGAAATGCTTGCCCAAGCTGAATACACTTTTTACATTTTATGCTGCTGTGTTGTTTAATCATAAGTAGGTTTTAATCACAAATGCTGTTTACATTTCTCATGTCATGAGCTGCGCTAGGAAGAGAAGCTCCTCTCTGCTCCAGCAAGCATTGCTGCTGGATGACTCCTTATTCTCAGTAGCCCACACTCAGACTCTCAACACTTGGGCTTCATTGGAACAGTGGCCTTCTATATGGTGTATCTGATGTGCTAGCCAATTGGGAAGACCCTGAAATAATTCAATAAAGCTCCTGTTTTATAATGTCAATAGCTGTTACTGAATTCATTCTATACAAATATGATCATTTTCAAGGTGGGGGGGGACGAGGACAGCACACACACACAGTATTACATAAAATGTATTTAAAAAGCAATGCATTTAAACTCCTAATCTGGGCAAGTCTTTCAAGTTTGGGGATTCAGCTACAAGATGCAAGAAGACCTAACACAAACAATTACAGAGCAGCTTGTTTTGACGAAGACAAGCTTGTTTGGACAACTATGTATGTTCTGAAATAACTATTTCACTTCACTACAGTAAATCATTGCTTGCCTTCGAATCACATTACACTGACTTCCAAACACACCAAGAACTGAGGAAGACATTGGACATAGCATCACTATCTCATTTCTGAAACAGTTCTGCTCTTTATTGTTCCACTGATACCAATATAACAAAACCACAGGACAGGAAACTGCAGACAGATTTACTGCAATAGCTCAAAACTAGAACACGACTAAGAGGGGCAGTAATCTAAACAGTGTTGACACATTCCCCAAAAGCAATGATGTGCTCTAGGTCTGTATGACACCACTGAGCTGAAGGGCACCAAGAAAAACTGCCCAAGGCGAAGTCTCAGCATAGCATGTTTATTTCTTAACCACTAAAAGCTCTAAATCAGAAACATCCAGCTTATTTTCCTTCTTTTCCCTAATCATCCATCCAAATTTCCTTCTGCATTGCTACCCTGCCCCTATTGTCCTCTTTCCAGCTTCAGTAGCGCATTTACACTTGGGACAGTCTCTCCTCTTCCTTCACTCAAAAATGAAACCATCCCTGCACACTAAAATTTAACAATGGCCTTCATGTGGTAATTTGCAGAGCTAACTCAGCTCTCTGCTTATGCCCTCAGACTGAAGATCCCACAGCCAGCTTTGGGGTGTTTCTGTTCTGTTTCTTAAGAAAATAACTTCCTTTGTGAGGCCCCACAGTCTGTTGTAGCCTGTGAAGCAATGCAATAACATAGATGTTAAGCAGGAAGTAGGACAGAGCTAAGGAACATGTAAGGTAACGTGGAAATTTCCCACAATTGATGATGAACATCAGAATCACAGGCTGTCTCTCAGGGTGACCCCATCCTCCCACTATTTTATAATAGCTTAGAGAATTATGTTTCTTTAAGCATCATGTTATGACTTTTCCAGACTCTGGACTTAGCTCTGATCCCCCTCAGAAGCGCTACATGGGTGTGAGAGTAAAGATGCCAGTACGGGAATTATTGAGAAAAATTCGGCTTTCCAAAGGCCTGGACCCAGCTCACAGCAAGGTGAGGACTCTTTTTGAGTTTAGAAAGGTTGCTCCCAGAGGTGTAACATCCTGGTGCACACACATCACACTCCCACCCTGCCAGTGTTCTGGAGAGGTTACACCTACAGCTGCTGCCTCTTCCATTCACCAAGTTAATGTTTTTGATGAAGATGGAGAATAAACCAAATTTAAACAGGCTGAGGGCATGCTAGGAACGTTTTTAAGACATTGACAGCAAGAAGTCATTTTGATCTAGATACTATACATCATACAACCAAGCCAAAGATGTCCCAAGAACCAATAACACTTTTGCTCTATCAACCCTCTGGGGTTCTGAACAGCCTGCAAAAACAGCCCAAGAAGCTGGGAGACACCCAGATACCTGGTCTGTTGTAAAGATCTTTATAAGGCTGTCATGAATTACCCACTCATGGAAATCTATTCACCCGCAGTCTCTGCTGTGCAAAGTACATAGCGTAGGTCACAATTTACTTTGTTCATGTTACAATATTTGCCACGGTTTCATCTTCTCTTATGTGCAAGCATCTCAAATAGAGTTGGGTGTTTTTGTCTCCTCAGGAAGCCTCATTATTGAAGATGGTAACCAAAGGATCCTCAGGAAAAACAGGTTAGGAAACTCCTCTCTTGGTAACAGAACCTTCTTTTCTAGTAGCATCATCACTGTTAGGCACTCAAAGAGTTGGACCACTTCTATCCCAGGGTCAGTGACCCATGCCAGTTCCTGGCTCCCCTTAAATTACATGAGCAGGCCAGCTGTGCACCACCACCATGTACGTGCTATCTATCTGTTATCTGGGGCAAAATTTCTGATGATATCTTCTGTATGTGTCTTCCCCCCCAACTCAAAACAGCTTCTTTCTTTCCTTTCCAACAGAAAAGAGAAGAGTTCACCCTTATACAGAGAAACAACTTAGACAGGTATGCATAACACCTTCAACTCTGTGCTGCCAGCCTCCTCAGGCGTATTTCATGTTATATCACTGAGTGAGAACAGGACACTTCATGTCTGATTTCCCTCCCCCATCTGCCGCCCTCCTCATTTTTGTTACTGTTTCAGAGCAAGCAGAACGTTGGGCAAACACTGAAAGGCTTAGAGGACCTTGATATCCTGGTGGAGGTACTGCAGGAAGATTTGAACAAAAGCCAATTGAAGGAATCGTCTCTGCATTCAATGCCAGATGGCTTTTGGCAAGGCTTCTCCGCAGACCTGCAAGCTTCTTGGTGGGAAACTGGAGGAAGTAAGCAGGCAGCTAGTGGCCTGCAGGAAAGATGCCACAGCTTAACCAAGCTGCGTTCGTACTGCTGTTTTAAAGATTTCAACACAGTGTTGCGGGGAGAAGTAGAGACTTCTTTTCATCATGATCAGAAAAACACTCCAGAGTCCAACTCACCAGGAATATTCTCAAGGACAAGTGAGAAAGAGAGTAGCTGGTGGATACAGGATGCATGTACAAGTACCCAGAAAGAGTTCCTGAGGCATTCTTCGCAGAACACATCTCCACACTTTAACCCATCAGGAGGCTGTTCAGAGATGCATCTGGAAGCTAATACCCGTTCTCCAGACATTGAAGGACATTTGAAGTCGACCCCAATTTCTTTCACACAGCAGGACCTCTCTGCCATCTCTTTCTTCCAGTTCCAGCTACACAGGGAAGAAAGTTTCCTGAGAAATATCCCAGTGGACAAACTGCTTGCACCTGATGAAAATGGCAACAGGTCTCCAATTTTTCTATTAAAGTATATTGGTTTCTATTTCCTGGGGCATCACTTGTCCTGAGGCTTTGCCCTTACTTCAACTGCTAGTTTTGGGCATGCCTATAACAAAGGCTTCCTTGGTCAATGGGAAGTTCAAACTTGCTTCAGTACACACGTTTTTAAGCAGATAGTTAAAATAGAAAGTTTCCATATTTGCAGTGGCATTGCCAAACCACAGCTGACATCAGGACAAATTCTGAGTGTTAACTATATTAAAGACTGAGTTGCATATTCACAAGAAAACTAAAATAAAGCAAAACAAGTAATTGCTACTGAAAAGAAAAAAAATGATATGCAAGAGATCTTTTCCATGCTGTAGACACTCGCAGGGTAATTACTTGTATTATTAGTTGGTAATAAAAATGGGTGGGAGGATTACACAAAAACATACATACGCTGCTAGTCTAGAGCATAGACTTCCAAGGAGCTGGGAGTGGCTGTTTTATTATAAATGAAATTAAAGCAAAGGTTGTACTGATCCCATTTTCCCTAGAATGGCACACTTATAAAGCAAATAACTGCATATTAAAAAAAATCTCTTATTAGGTTCCATACAGTTCAACGAGTTTGGGGAAGCTGTTATCAAATCAGCTTGACAGAAAGAGTGATGTAACTTATAAACTGTCATAGTCTTGGTGAGAAAAAGATTAATTCCTGTTCATACAGACAATCTCGTTCCAAATTACAAATATTTACAACCCACATGGGGAAAGCTAAACACAGCATCATCCCCTTCCATGAAGCACCATGTTCTATTCAGAATAATAATTTTCAGTGCAATAATAACATTAGATTTCACTTTTCAACAATAATGTAACTGTAACCAAGTTACAATAAGCCACCTACTACTATATTTTCTGCATTTTTTTTTAAACAATACAGAAAAAACTCTCACAGGAACACAATTAATCACAATTAAGAAATTAAGACATTTCTACTACCATGTTTATGTAAAATTCACAAGCTACAATTTCTATCAGCCTACTTACCTCTAAGAAGCTCTTAAGCATCATATTACACACTCAAAAGAACATATGAAGGCAGGACTACACACCAAATAAGCTAACTCTGAGTTCTACTGAATGGTGAACAGTATTAGTTACTATGTCAAAAACCCACAATAAAACCAAACAAAAAAAAAACAACCAAACAAATAAACAAACAACCAACCCAAACAAAACTCCAAACAGAAATAGTAATAAGTGTCAGAGTTACTCAGACATCTTGAAGGCTATCATGCTACAAGACACAGGGGAAATAATAAATAAAAAAATCAACACATGCAGTAATTTCTCCTCCAGGAGGAAAGGAAGACATGCCCAAATTTACAAGGAAAAAAAAAGTCTTTTTCAGGATGAAATTCAGGAGAAACACTTTTACTATTTTGAGTAGTTCAGCAGGACTGAATACACAGAAGAAATTGAGCTCTCTTCCACAGGACTGAATTACATTTGGATATACTTTTCTTTTAAGTGCAAGAGAATGATTTCCATTCTCTCAATTTTTAGATATCTTTTCCCTGTACTGAAGGATGCTTTCAAAAAGGAGGAGGAAATAAAGATTGTTAGCAAAAAGGAATCATGAAGTAGCTCCTGGAAAGGAGAGGAATGGCATAATAGCAAGAAGGGAGGACCAAGAAATCCTGGCAAACAAAAACAAAATCAGCAACTCCATTATTAAGACAGAGACTAAATAAATTAAATGCTTAAATATCATAAGATTTTGGCATTTGTGAACCTTAACATTTAATGATTTAAAATCCATTCTCACTGTTAGCTTTGCATATTTTAACTCCTGCTTTATCTTCTAATTGTTTAAAACTGTTCTATTCCAGGATGCTGCACAAGGCTGTTGCTCAGGGAAGAAGAGCTCTGACTTACGCACTTGCACAGAGATTTGCATCCCTAAATAAGATCAATGAGAAGGATGCACAGAAACGGGTAGGATCCTAACTTGCTTGGATAGGGTAATTTTCTGTCACGTGACAACATCTTTCAAACCCCAGTCAAGCACCAAGCATCCTTTTGGACAAAGGGTAGCTACTGTCCTTGCAAGGAGGGGAAAACAGGAACAGGGAGGAAGTGATATGCATAGAGCAAGTGTTAGCACAACTGGCAACAGAACCCAGAGTCTCAACTCCCCATCTCATTCTCTAACAAGCACTGTTGTTTTAAAACTATTTTTGTCTTTCACAACGAGTTTCTTCCGTTCTTCTCTTCTTAGACTGCACTACATCTTGCTGCAGGGAAGAATCAGCATTTGATGGTGAGTGACCTGATATCCCTAGGAGCTAATGTCAATGAACAGGATGGTTTTGGGAAAACTCCACTCCACCTGTGTGCAGAGAATGGATATTTGAGGGTTTTAGAGGTGAGTTGGTCATTTACATTGTATAAAGACACATGCAAATGTAGAGCAAACACAACAAATGCATCTTCTTTTGTTTAAAATATACGAGGGTTTTCTGTACTTGAAAATTAGCTTTGATCTAATGTGGTTAAAGTAAGATGGAATTGAGGGAGGAGGGGTATTTTGGCACTGCCAAAATTCAGGGCTTATCTTTATCTTCTTCATTTCAGGTTTTGAAAAATTGCAAAAACAACGGTGTGCACGTGGAAGTGAATCTGACCGACCATTCTGGTAAGAGGAAAAGCTTAACCACACAGATGCTTACTGTAGACTCCAGAAGTTTCAGACTACAGGTTTTATCTAGGCCAAAGAATGTTCAAGTTCATGTTTAAAACTTAGAGGTCTAGCCAATCAGCCTTAATAGGGCACCCCTCTACAATTAGCCAGGTGTGGGATGGTTTACTTCAGTGAGGTGTTCAAGCACTGGGTTTGTTTTGACTTTTCTGTGGTCTGTTCTGTTCAGGTTTAACACCGCTACACTGTGCTGCTCTTGCCCACACTGTCTTAGTTATGGAATCTCAAAAAACTGATGACGATACTGACACAGGAAGGTTTCTCAGACTACGCAAAGATCAAATTCTTGAGGGAATTAACTGCTTATTACAAATGGGAGGAAAGCCTGAGCTGCAGGTGAGGACCAGCAGCAGGCTGTTTACCGTGGCCTTAGGTTTCCTTACTCTTTTGCAATCACAGGTTTCACTGTCTTTCACAGGTACTGAAGTCATATCAAATTACCACTACCTATTTAAAAATTGAGGAGAACACAGAACTCATGTATTTGCTTCAGACTCGTAAACCTAAGGAACAGAACATTCTTCAAGAGGTAACTATCTGTAGCTACTTTTACACAGGCCCTAGCATTTGTACCCAAGAAACTAAATGAAGTAATATAAGCTCCACCATCTTGTAAGCACAGTAGGTGATGCTCCCAGCCTTGCCCTATCTTGCATAGGGCAGAAAAATCCCCTTTTCAGGGAAGAAGCACCATACGAGCTCTTACCACACTTGGTTCCATCCCAGCTCTAGGAACTGCTGTATTTGCTATAATTTAGAGCAGTCCAGTTGTGCACAAGTGCTCCCAGCATACTGCTCACACCCATCCCCAATCCAAACTCCCCCTTGGCAACAATGCCTTCGTTCCCAAGATTTTACAGCACACCAAGCCAGATAGAGGCAACTCAGAAGTAACACCAGGGGAATTCTTCCTCTGCTAATAAAGGAATGCCACAGGCCCAAGTATTGACAGGATGTTCAATTACTTTCAGCAGCTTCTTAAAAGAGATAATTTTCTCTGTCCCTTAGCACACGCAGTCAACACCAAAACTACCTGAACTCTGCATTACTGGGCCAAAAGATAACCAGATTATCCAGTGGGCATCAGCATCTCTTGCTAACTTTTTGGTGCAGGAAACAAGACACAAAAACTGAAAAGCAAAAGCTTGAGTTCTGAAATAAAGCAGTATCTGCCACAGAGTCCAGTATTCTTGTCCAAGATTAAGAAAATATTCAGTGCTTAGAAGTTACAGTCCTTTTACCTTTCCTAGGGTCTTTTTTGACTCTGGCAGATAGGCCTTCCCACCAGTGTACATGTACAGAAACCGATAATAAGATTTTAATTAGAAATACAGACTTAAAGCCACATTTCAAGTCATTTATCTTCTTAACAGTTATGCTTTGTAGGAGATAAAACACAATAGAAAAAAATAGTTTCAATCCAGCTCACTACTGACTGAAGTGTTAAACATGTCACCCTCCCCAGTCTTACGGTAAGGGGAAGAATCTAGGCTTTGCACGTCCAAACTAGTACAAGTTCTTGACACAAAGCCTGCATCACTGCTAATGCTGGAAATTTACTGTTCTGCTTTCTTCATCTATATAGAGTTACACTTTGCCGGATGCTCCAAGAAGCACGCCCAGTCCCTCGTCACCAGATAACTTCTCTGAACTTTTTCCCATGTCATCTTCGGACCCCTTTGACATCATTCTTAAAGGTATTTCATGGTAGGAAATTGATTCTACCTAGTCAGGGTCTTTGTAACTCAACAGCTATAATGTAGTAGCTAGCTCCAGTACTGTCCCTGCATTGCTATATAACAATTAATCATCAGTTCATGTGGAACTGATGGAAAAAATGCCCTGCGACTTCAGATTAACTCCAGAGTTCTGCACAGAATCTCTTTTGCTTACAAAACTCCTTACTCATCCAAAACCAAGTAGAAAATAGGGCAATAAATATGTGGCATTAGAAGGAACACTCATCATGTAGATTGAGCTGAATATTTGTTGGTTTATTGCCTTCCAGGGAAATGCTGATAAACTCATTATCTGCATCTCATGGTCTACCTGCTGCAACTGCTGCTGAAGAACAGAGAGAGAATAGACAGTAAAAGTCTTCAAATGTATTACAGCTTGAACTGACTGTTGAAAATATCTCCTTAGTACACATGATTAAAAAGTAAACTAATAAAGGGGGGAAACCCTTGAGCCAGGTTTCAACAGTATTAGGCATTCAGTGTTAGATGTTCCAGTAAATTAATAGGTCTTAATTTTCTCACAAAGCTGAGCACTTGTACTTCTCTTTAAGTCAATTTGAGTTGTAGGTATTCTACATTCTGAAACTTTGACAATTTTTTATTGCAGGTGCCTAGCTTAAGAAAAAAAAAACTTTGAATTTAGTTATTCAGAGCCTAGTCTTGAGAGTACCAGTGCCAGATCAGTCTCTACAGGGCAAACAATGTTCAGATGTGCTGAAAATCTCAGGCAATATATCATTTTAAACATGAGCTATGAGAACTCAGAATCTGATGGGCTATATTTAATATTTCTGCAGTTGGCTCTGAATTTGTCCAAGGCTGGTGTTGTCACACTTTAAGGCAGTCCCACCGGAAAAAAAAATCACTCCAAAATAAAAACATAGCCATACACTGTTACTGAGCATGTTTTTTTCAACAAAAATTGAGCTCTTCATTTATGCAATCAGAATTTGCCACCATAGTGGATTGTAGGTGAAGTCTGGGACAGAACATAGTTTAAATCAGTTACTTTTGCTCTGGGTGATCTAATATACCTTTACAAAATTTAAGTATATAACAACACTTTACAAGGAGCACTTTTTAGGCTAAGCAATTTTGCAAGTTAGAAGGATAACAAGGAGCTTACATTTTTCTGTGCTGCCAGATATCCAAGTATTCAACAGAATTCCTATAAACTGGGTAATTATTGTCAAAAAAAAAAATCTTCCCAGACATAGTATAATTTTATTTTAACTTCTGATTGTGAATTAGCTGGTTTCTATGAAACTTCCCTGTTTGCTACATATGGAGCAATCTACATTTACATAACCTACAAAATGACTGATCCAGCAATCAACTCACATAGGTACCTCCTGTTGAAGTAAATGGGAGGTTTTTCACATGTAAACATTGCAGGATCCAGTATTAAGTACTCAGCATGTTTGAGGAATATTTTCTAATGAACTTTGCATTTTCTTCTTGTAAAACCAGGTTATTTTCCTCTTATTGGATATCCTTAAGTGTTAAGCTCCAAGAGCTATGTTGCACAACATGAACTAAGTTTTACTAAAAAATTACAGTGTTTAAATTAATCCCACTGAGATTTGGGTCATATCCTAGGTTTCTTATGCCCTGAACAGCTAGGTAGCACTCTTCTGTATTTTCTCTAGTCTTAAAGAGACACGATACTTCAAAATTTTTAATTATTTTATTAAAAAAAAAAAAAAAAAGTTTTGTTACATGAGTTGGATAACGCTATGGAATATTCATGTGCCTCCTTCCATAGATGTCCCTCAATGTTTTAATCCTGTGATGTGTTTTTTCTTTTTCACTTTTTGTCCCAGGTTTTATTTGGAAATACAAATATTTTCCTCTCTGATGAATTTTCTCTGTCCTCTCCCATCACCACCCATTCTTCTTTCATGTTTGCATTTTAACTCACATCTGTGTTCACATAATTTTTTATTCATTTGAAGAGAATTAATGCGGATCTTCTAGGTTACTCAGTTTCTATTTGTGTGATTTAAGGATCAGATCCAACACCCACTGAAATTAAAGACTCCTTATTTTCACCGAAAACTGACCAAGAAATTCCGCATCTCACACAAAACCAAAAATGAAACAGTATGGTGAACAAATAGAGAATTGCATCAATAAGCATTCTCAGTGAAGAAAAATGAATTTACCTACAAGATATATTTTTAAAAGTGTAGAAAACTATCATATAACAATACAGTATCAATCAAGTTCTTTTAATCACATGGAAACCATTCAGATGAAATGACAGGAACCTTAAGCTATTAGTATGTATCATTTAATCAATATACTCAAAGCTGAACTAGCCTGTAAAGTATACTCTACAACAGTTATACATTAATTGCATTGACATTAGTAGTACGTTCTACATTGTTTCCTTCTTTCCTTCTGTCAATAAATATATTATTTCATGCAGTATCTAACTTAGTGATTTTTATGTATTACTATAGCCATACTACACTCACAACAGAATATCATGAAAAGAGCAAATTAAGCAGACTTCAAAGCTGGCAAGTACATAAGGGTTTTTTGATGTAGCAGTTTCATTTTTTAAGAGTACAGTGGTGCCTGTGCAGAAGCATCAGCATTACCACAAGAAGTAGTAAGGGAAGGTGATTTATTTAAAAACAAACAAACAAAACAACCTCCTCCTTTTCAAGGCACATTCATTAACCCACTACCTCTAACTAGGAGGTAGACAACTATAAAACTAATTCTCAACTTTTTTCAGCACTAAAATTTTTGCCTACAACCAACTAACCTCAAAGTAGAAAAAATTATGCACCTAAAGAGATTAAGTAATATGACAGTTTGCTGAAAAAGCTGTAGCTTTTCAGCCATTCACTATGACTAACTGTAACAAACTATTCTATACCAAAAGAGAATTAAAAAGGGCTTTGAATAAGAATTACCATGCATAAAAGTAACTTGAATTTCTACTGCAAGATTTTTTCTATTTTTTTTCTCTGTGAACAAAGAGACCTATTAGCATTAAGATAGAGACTTTGCAGAGTACTGCATATTCCCTGCTCCTAATGTGACTGCTACTGCAAGTGATATAACAGCTCTTTACAGGTAACTGTTCTCAACAGCTGGGCTGAAAAAAAAAAAAAAAGAAAAAAAAAAAATCCAGTGAGTTCTGCAGAGAGGTGTTCTAGCCCAGTATAAACTAACTATTTGGGCAGGGCAGCACTGAAATTAACTCTGAGCTGTATATACCATACGAGATAGGCCTAATGATCTTGATCATTCAGATTAAAGACTTTTGCTTTGCTTCTCATCATGAAAGGAAAACCTCCCCTGGCAAGGCAGCTTCTTAACATAAACCGGTTACTAATTCAGGACTGTCTCAAAGAAAAGGATAGCATTTACCAAATCGTTAGCTTTACTTCCTTCAGCACCACACACACTCTACAAGTCTGCTCACAGGTATCTTTAGACAGTCCCAGCTCAAACCTGTTGAGTTAACACGGGTAAGGGGATCTTAGCAGAAGATTTTACAATACTCAGAATTAACTCAATAGCTTCACCCACGATGGTCTTTAAATTGAATCCTTACACATGTATACCAGCCTATTATTTGGGAAATACTCCTGTGTTCCCATAAATTACAGAAACTGGCTTCCATGTTCAGTCCTGGTGCCAACAAGACATCAGGTCACTGAAGTCCAGTGAGAGACCTCCTGACCTCAAGACACGTCCTGTGCTTTATCCACACAGGCTACTACCATGCCCGTAGCTGAGGGAGAGGAGTTACCATTCAACACCTGCAGCAGGGCATGGCAGAAGCACTGTCCCTCCAACAGGGTTTGTTACCCAGTGTGCAAAAAGCCAATCTTACCCAGAGAGCCGAGATACCGATTTATTTCATATTTGTGCAAATATGACTGCTAGGTGGCAATTCCACAAAGCTAGCACACTACACAAAGTAACTACAACCTATTTATCTTGTTACAGGATTAGTAAAAACCTATCTAAGTTTGCACTAATTTTCCATAATTACCATTCCATCTGCTCTTAGTTATGTTGAAATTAGCCTTGCTTTCTGTGTAAGGGGGTGATCTGCGATGGGGGTCACAAGTTTTTTTGGTCTTGAATTGAGTTAGTGATTGCCATCTCCCTGTGACACCTTTATGTCTCCCCCAGTTAACACAGATTTTCTGCTGACTTCATGCCTCTTGGGCAATCATCCAGCAACCTCTGGCTCAGAATGCTCCCCTCTTATCAATGGTATAGTCGTTAGCAAGGCCTGCATTGTATCAGGCTTACTCAACCGAGTCAGTGATTAGTGGTCCTTGTACTTGATGAGAAACATTTGTACAGACTACACAAGCATCCTCAGGACAAAACCAGTCCAGCACAGAGTGGAGATCAGACCTATTTTAAACTGCACTGACATTATCAACCTGGCTCAAAACTCCCCAGCCCCGGGGCCCTTTTCAAAAGCAGCAGCAGCTTAAGGTTCAAGGTGCACAGCAAGACTGTGGCTTGCCTGGGACCAAGTGCTGTGCTTCTGACACCTAAGTACCAGTTACACCAGGCTAGTATGTGTGGTATGATTCCTGCAGCTCATTCATTCTAAACCAGATCACATGTGCACCCACAAGCTATGGTCATGCCTTTGCACTGTGGCACAGACCACACTTAAAGAAGCTGCTTTCCTTCTTTACCTCACTTCTCACTCCATATTACAAAATGAGCGCCATTCACTGGCTTACACAGTTATTTAGGTTCCTTGCTCCTTTGAAGATACACAAGCATTGGCATGCATAATTATTTTTAAGCACAGTGTAAAATCTTTGTCACAGAATTAGTAGCAATTCGGGAAAGAAATATAATAACTAACAAAATAAATCAGATCCAGCGCTTACAGCAGTTCTCAGGGATGCTGCTGATCAGGAAAATGGAAACTCATGAGATATCTGGTGCAGATTTGTAAGGCCTTGAAAAAGGCCCTGGCAAGGATAGAAGCTTTACTTTCCCAGCAGGGCACTCTGATCAACACTGAACATATTTACGATAAGTGATAATCACAAGGCCACAGATCATACACTTAAAGTGCATGACACACCAGCTATGGTCTTTGATGGGCGTACAGAATCCTGCGGTATTCATGGAAGTTTTCTAGGCCTTCCTTACCAAGTCCTTCCTTCCAGAGCTGAGTGAAAAGCATCTGAGCCAGAGCACTAAAATTTGAAGTTACTCAGAAGACAAGTTGCAAGTTAGAGCACGGGGATGCACAAATACATCTGTTAAAACAGCCCGAGGCAAGGGAACAGGATCTATCCTAGGTGTATCCTAGGACTTTGGCTGAATATTAGATCTTTCTACTACAAACCCAACAACTTAAGGTTCCAGAGGAAAATAGGACATTGTCACAGATCCTTGGGTGCTGCTACTACACAGTTACAAATGCAGCAAGTCCTGAGAACAAAAGCCTTCAATGCCAAGTCACTGAGCTCTACCGAACAGTTTTTCTGGTACACACAGATGTATTTCCACTAGATTTCAGGAGTTATCAGTAACACAACGACTTAATAGAGTCTACTGTGAATGCTGTGAAAAACAAAATACAAGCATTGCCACCTAGCAGCTCATCTGCATCTATCAAACATACACAAAATAAATTGCAGAGGTGACATGGCATTGCAAAAGATGAAAATATTACAGAAAGTATTTTATGGATTAATAAGAAACCGCCTGGCAGACTCACAGAAGCTCTCCTTCGTTTCTAATTTTTAAATTTATGTAACGCAACACAAGAATGAGAGGAGAGAGATTCTGGCCCAGGTTTTCAGCAGCATAAAATTCTTCAGGTAGCAAGACAGGCTGTTACAGACCATTGACTCTGGAAAGTGTCTTAAGAAAACAGCTCCTCTGGGAGCTACTTTCAGTAGCTAGTGATGGCAGAAATGCTCCAGCATTATTCCTTCCCACTACTTATGACAAATGAAAGAAAATAACCCCAAAATCTTTTTTTGCCAGAAGGGTATCCCAATCTGGAAGAATCCAACTGCTTTCTGACCCTGCCACCCCAGCCTGGTACCACACCAAGATGGACCACAGCAGAAAATCCACCTCCTGTTGTATTTGTCCTCCAAAATGTGTCCTTGAAATCATGCTTTGCTGCATATCCACAATTATTGCATCAAAGACTTGCTAAGGCTGCTGGATTTTGCTTAAATGAGCAAACCATCTCCCAGATCTCAAAAAACTTAGCTGAGAAACATATGAACTGTTGCCCACTAAAACAGATAATGTTAAAGATAACAATATCATGACTGTAACACACATACAAGAAAAGAAATTACATTAAAAAAAAAAAAAAAAAAAACAAAAAAACACAAAACAAACCCCAAACATTAGAACACACAAAGACTTCAATCTTTTAGATGAGGATCCAACAAAAGAGTCATGGGGAGGCTGGACACTTCAGAAAATCCTCCAGAGCCCTTTTAAGAATATGGATCAACAGCTGTCATTCAAAAAGAAACATTGACATTCCCTCTGCACCACTCTGCATCCCATTTCCCATAATTCTACATCCCTCCCTGTGTGATGACAACCAGGCTGAATTGCAAGCAGAGCTGGAGGAGCCAAGTTTCTGAGCCAAACAAAAGGGAGAGGCTGAGCTCTTGGCTGATTCAGATTCTTTTAGAATAGTCTCACCCATCAAGTTTTATTTTTCCTGCTTTCTTTGTGGCTAGAGAAACTTGGAAACCAAATGATTCAATTTAAAACAAGACATGTTTCTGCAGCTGTGCTGAACAGGACAGATGAAATAAATTTAGAGAAGGGAGTCCCACTAACTGAAAACCTGAGTGTCTCAATCACTCTGAAGAAGCATCACTGTGGAGAGAGGCAAGAAAAGGAAAGAGGACAGGACATTGGCTCTCAAGCTGTAGCAATCGCAGTGACCCAGACTGCCCCAGCCACATACAAACAAGCCAGGAGCTGCAGTTCAACATTGCTGCACACTTCATTAGTCTGTTTACCCAGAAGTTTCACTTGTCTTGAGGATTAGCATGCTATGCAGCTTAGCATCTGGAGGTTGTAGGATCAGCCCTAAAGAAGTCCCTTCTGTCTTGAGGCAGTCTAAGCAGGCTGGAGGCTCAGGCATCTCTCTCTACCTGCCCTAGTTACTTCTATCTACGAGGAGCTGGTCACACGGCACCTGTGCCCCAAAGTACCACACCATCATTTTCCTGTCTTTTTCCTTATCCTCCAGTCTGTGTGGTTTCAAGGAGGAGCAGGGAGTTTAAACTGAGGTCATCAGGAAATGTTTTTCCTGAAGAAAGATGGTGAGGGGAAGGGGGTTCTTGTTGATCTTCCTGCAATGCTCAGGAGACAATGCTTATTCTTTCTTCCCAGGGTTTCCAGCTTACAATTTTTTATTTGTCATCACCTTTCAAGCCACA